ACATGCCAGAAAGCACTGTGTGTAGTGTTTGATGTCATTTTGTATTTATTTTTCCCTTCATCCATCTGAAATTTATTATTAACCCCATTTTAGAGTTGAAAATACTTTACTTGTATATTTGTGCTCATCCATTTTACAGAATGTTTCCAGTAGAACGCTGTGTGATTTGACCCTGATCTAGGTTATTTGTTTCTAACTCATACCTGGCTTTTATACTTATAATGTATAAAGTTATAATTGTATACTTGTAATGCATAGTTCATTTTAAGCCTATATATGTTTCATATAAATGCCCTTCGAGAATATTGTATGAATTTGAGTAATGATTCAGGAGTTCACTTTTTTACATGTTAGAAGAAGGGTTATTTTGAAATTAAGCAAGGGTTTAAGTGCCATTAAAGTTGAGCTTAGAAATATTAATTTAAGTAAAACAAGCAGTCATTTTACTTACTTTACTAGTTAGCAATAAAACCAAAAAGTTTAAGTATGTTAACTTTTCTTAAATAAGGATTTTAAAAAACTCTGTAATTTAAAAAACTCCAATTTTATCTAAGTTTATCCTCTGTGCTACGACAAGAAGGTTTTTTTGTTTGTTTCTGAAAAACTGATTTGACTATGCTGTTCTGGCTGAAATCCTTTCAGGACTCCCTGTTATTTAGAGGTTCAGGTTCAGTCTACAGTTTGGCTTTAGCCACTCTTGTTTTTTTTTTAAACAAAAATTTTGTTTTATGGTGGTAAGAACACTTAACATGAGATCTGCCCTCCTAACAATTTATTTAGAGACAGAGTTTTGCTTTGTCACCCAGCCTGGAGTGCAGTGGCATGATCATGGCTCACTGCAACCTCAAACCCCTGGGCTCAAGTGATCCTCCCTCCTCAGCCTCTTGAGTAAGCTAGGCTTACACTACCATACCTGGCTAATTTTTTTATTTTTGTAGATACAGAGTCTGTTTCCCAGGTTGGTCTCAAATTTCTGGCCTCAAGCATTCCTCCCACCTTGGCCCCCCAAAGCACTAGGATTACAGGTGTGAGCCACTGCACCCAGCTTAACATATTTTTAAGTGTACAACACAGTATTGTTAACTATAGGTACAATGTTGTACAACAGATCTCTAAAAATTATTTATCTTGTATAATTGATATTTTATTCTTGTTGATTAGTAACTTCCTATTTCCCTCTCCTACAAACCCATAGCACCCAAAATTCCACTCTTTGATTCTGTGTTTTTGCCCATTTTAGATACCTTGTATAGGTGGAACTATACAATAATTGTTTTTCTGTGGCCAGCTTTATGTTCATTGTGGCAATATTCTCGAGATGTGAGAACAACCTAAATGTCCATTGACAGAGGAATGGATAAAGAAAAGATGGCATATCCATATAATGGAATATTACTCAGTTATTAAAAAAAACAGTAATGAAGTACTAATCCATGCTACAACATGGGTGACCCTTGAAAACATTACACTAAGTCAAATAGGCCAGTCTAATCATTCTCTTTTTAAGCATCACCCTTTGGTTCTCTCTTTCTTTACCCTTTTTCAGGAATTCTTCATTCCAGTTTCCTTTTTCCTTCTACATTCTTCAGTTTGCATTGTTATAGATGTTGAAGATCCAGCTAGGGTTCTTGTTCTTCAGATCTTTCCATGACGTCCCTCTACAGAGGGAGTGTTTCTTTCCATTGTTTTTCTATAATAGTTTTAAATACACTTATTATTTTCATTTCTTTAAATTCTTGTTCTTTAGACTTTGAACTCTATTAGGCTAGCAATTGCCTTAATCTTTGTTCCTTACCACTACCACAGTCTGCTCTATCCCTCCCTTTGTTACTCCTTTCCCCATTTTCTCTTTCTCTCTTTTGTTTTTTCCTCAGCAAATATCCACAGATAATCTACTAAGTGCCTCCTGTGTTCCAGAAACTGTTTATTGAATGGGTGGGAAGAAATATGAAATCTTGGCCAGAAAGACATTGCTAACTTTGTTATTAGTTTATTGTTTTAATCATTCTAGGCATGAAGATAATAGACCCTTGCTATTTAACATTGGAACAACCTATCAATTTCACAAACATTTGGTGATGTCTGGATGAAATATTAGAGGAAAAACACAAATGATAGTCATTTTGTTTTTATGTAATTTGAACTCAAATCATGTTCAATATTGAAATCCATTCTTGGCTCTGCTTTGTCAACAGAGACTTGACTTGCAACATTGTTGATAACAGCCATGGAAATAACCACATGCACACCTGCCTAGCCAAAGTAACAGCTATTTTGGACCAAATAAAGAAGAGTAATCTTATTATTGTTCACCATTGGAGTTGGCATCTGGTGAATATAGATATATGTTTAGAATAGTGTAGATGGAAATGCAGTGCTTCTAAAATATCTTTCTGAAGGATAACGAGTAGACAGTGTTCATAGCAACTGAATGGTCCTGGGAGGTAGGGGGTGATTTCCCATTGTTGGATGAGGAAACAAAGGCTCAGAGAAGTCAAGTGATTTTTCCAAGGTTGCACAGATAGTGAAGCAGCAAAAGTAAGATTCAAGCTAGATCTTTCTTATGGAGACCATGCCTATTTCATTATGTTGCTGTACTGCCCTTAAATCTTTATTCTCAAACTTGTATCCACATTGACGATGGTGAATTACCATGGTAATTTGAATTGGAGATGTGGAATTACTGAATTATTTGATATTTGGCAAGTTATTTAACCTTTCTGAATTCATTTCCTCCATGGATAATACTGCCTGCCTCCCAATAATAAATGAGGTGATGTGTGAAAATGTGGTATGAAACCTTATACTAATGTTTGGTGGTATTATTAATGCTGCAGTCATTACGTTTGAGAGCATTAATGTGTAATGTGCTAATTCTGCTGCATGAATGTTTCTTTGCTGTTGTCCTTTTAACTAAACTGCTTATCAACTACTAAAGTACCATAATGACTGTACTTCATTAACAAGGAAAGTTATTTAAGTGTAGACCTAAATATTTTCAGGTCAGACTCTTCAGATTTATATAATATAATTTATCTGAAGAACTAAGTATGCTTAGCCATTTAAAACTTTATTCTATTTCTCTCTGCTCTAAACATTTATATTTTTTTCTTGAGTTATATCTAAAGTTAAGGTTGAAACTTTATGATGGCTTATTCTCAATAACTGATATTTAATGGTTATATTTAGTACATTTGGTCAGAACTTCTTTTTTTGAATCACGTTATATGCCCACAAATTGTTCAGCACTGGAAAGCTAGTTCCTCTGTGAAGGCAGCTGGATCTTGTGTTTAGTGTAATTTTGAACTAGAGATTAACTATATCAGTTGTTTCCATATGCATAATGTTTTTTTGTATAAAGAAGATCGCTTTCTTTTTTCTTGAAATCCTTGCCTAAGGAATGGTCTGTTTCTTTTCTACTAGGCAAAAATGTAGGAGGATCAGAATGTTTCATCATATGGGAGAGTTAGTAGTAGCACTATAGAATAAACTTTTAAAACATACTTTAATTGTATGACTGACATAAGAATATTTACTAGCCTCTCTTGAAATGGTGGATCTTATGACAAAAAGTTGTGGAAGAATCTTGAACTTACAATATAGGATATTAACTATCAAATGTAACTGAAAACCTGAATTTCTTTTTAATATAAAAGCATTATCTTTGGCAGTTTTTAATTTTTTGTTGGTACTGGTAGTAGAAATATATATATATATATATATATATATATCCTTGTATGATAATCAACTTTGATTCCAAAATATAATGTTTTCTTTTCAAACTGCTGTACTGACCTAAAAGCAAAATAATATATCTTGTGAATGGTCTCTTTTTAAAACTAACTGACATATTTCTTTAAAAAAGTGTTTGGGCCAGGCACGGTGGCTCAAGTCTGTAATCCCAGCACTTTGGGAGGCCGAGGCAAGAGGATTGCCTGAGCCAGCGGGTTGGAGACCAGCCTGGGCAACATGGTGAGACCTTGTTTTTACAATAAGTCAAAAAAAATTAGCCAGGCATGGTAGCACACACCTGTGGTTCCGGCTACTTGGAAGGCTGAAGTGGAAGGATCGCTAGAGCCCGGAGGTCGGCGCTGGGGTGGCCATGAGTGTACCACTGCACTCCAGCCTGGGTGATAGAGTGAGACTCCAACTCAAAAAAAAAAAAAAAACAATAGAGTATGCGATTTTCCCTCAAAAGCATTGTGGCTTTGGAGTTAGATCTGGGTTCAAATTTCAACTCTAGAACATTTTTTTCTTTTTCTTTCTTTTTTTTTTTTTTTTGAGTTGGAGTCTCACTCTGTCGCCCAAACTGGAGTGCTGTGGCCGCTCCTGGCCACCGCAGCCTCGACCTGCTGGGCTCCGGCAATCCTTCCGCCTCAGCCTTCCAAGTAGCCGGAATTACAGGCATGCGCTACCACGCCCGGCTGATTTTTTGATTTATTGTAGAGATGCGGTCTCGCTGCCGAGGCGGGTCTCGAACCCGCGGGCTCAGGCAATCCACTCACCTGAGCCTCCCAAAGGCGCGGGATTACAGGCTGAGCCACCGAGCCCGGCTACATTTTGTTTTTTTAAGCATTGGGCTACAAGTTAACATATTTGTGCCCCAGGTTCTTTCTCATATGTATACAGTTTCTTATTTCTTATTGTACTTGGGAGGATCAGATGAGGTAGTGTGTGAACATGGTTCCTAAATGAACAATATGAATATGTTTACAATAGCTCATTTATGGTTATTTGCAGAGAAAAAAGAATTGAAGAACTTGATTTTTTCCTTGCTGGTAAGCAGAATTGTTTTTAATATCTCTTCCACATAATAAAATTTTCAGTATTAGTGATATATGTTTAAGAAACATAACACTATAATTAATTTAAGCTATAATTTTGAATACAAGACTGGAGCTCTTGTTAAACTATACAAAAATGACATGAATCAAATATGTCATGTAAACTATATGCATGTACTTCTACATTCTCAATGATATAGATGTGTATTTTTATAGGTTTGCCTGAATCCATCTTTGCGGCTGCATGTTCAAGAATTGGCCAGAGGGTTCTGCATGTTGATTCGTAAGTTTATTAAGGTAGCATTTAATGCTTCCTAAATGTCTCTATACAAGATGAAAATTTAAATAAGTACATATATATATATATATCTGTACATGTGTATGTATATATCTATATCATATATAAATTTAAGTTAGAAAAACAATTGGAATAATTTAGTTTTTACCAATTATGTATTTACTATATAATATACAGATTTTTACTATTGTGATGTTTCCTTTAAGAATAAACCAAATGCATTGTAATTTTATTTTTCTTGTGAGTTGTTTGGTTTTTTAAATAATAAGTAATTCTCTAAGAGGCTTAGAAACTTCATGCCTTCTCTTTTTCTTATATATGTGTGTGAGTGTATACAACCTATATATGCTGTCATATTTGGTTTGTATTGGATTGTTGTAAAAATAAGCCAGTAAATTTTGAGCATGGTTTCTTAAAAATTCGTCAAAATTTAAGCTTAGAAAAATCTTCACTAGGAAAAATATCTAGAATTATATTCCCCACACTTTTTTTCTGTTAAATGTGTTGATAAAAAAGAAGTTGATAGAAAACTCAAGTTTAAGATAAAGCTTAATTTTGGCTGGGCATGATGGCTGATGCCTGCAGTCCTAACATTTTGGGAGATCGAGGTAGGGGGAATCACTTCAGGCCAGGAGTTTGAGACCATCCTGGGCAACATGGTGCTACCCCATTTCTACCGAAACTTTAAAAAATTAGCTGGACATAGTGGTGCATGCCTCTAGTCCCAGCTACTCAGGAGGCTGAGGCAGGATGATTACTTGAGCCTAGGAGATTATATGCAGCAGTGAGTCATGATTGCGTCACTGTACTACAGCCTGGGCAACAGAACAAGACCCTGTGTCTTAAAAAAAAAAAAAAAAAAGATAAATTGTAGTTTAAATTTCTTCATTCCTGCGCCCCCCGCAACAAATCTTTAATCTTCCACCTATTTACTTAGTGCGTTTGACCATTGCAACTTAGCACTTTAGTTATTCATTGAGTCAGAATAGAAAATAATGTAGAAATGGACTTTCTATTTTCTGTTAGTTTTTTTTTTTGAGTCTGAGTCTCACTCTGTCGCTTAGGAGGGAGTGTGGTGACATGACCATGACGATCATGGCTCATGGCAGCCTTCACCTCCTGGGCTCAGGTGTTCCTTCCACCTCAGCATTCTGAGTAGCTGGGGGCTACAGGCATGCTAGCATTCCCAGCTAATTTTTTGACTTTTTTTCTTTTCTTTTTTTTTTTTTTTTGACACAAGATTTCACTATGTTGCCCAGGTTAGTCTTGAGCTCCTGGGCTCAAGCAATCCACCCGCCTTGGCCTACCAAAATACTGGGATTGCAGAAATGGGCCACCATGCCTGGCATTCTGTTAGATATTAACTGCAGTATTTTTTCAGAATGCCAGAATACCAAAAAAAAAACCTTTTGATTTGTAATGGTTTATAGTGCCTTCCCATATAGTATCTCATTGTAAATATTTCGGAATCCAAAAAATAGTATTAGTTTACATTTAACCTTTTCTGAATTCATTTGGAAAGTATATTAACTCCTCAGTTAATGGATGGCATATTCCAAATTGGAATTGGTTTTCACACAAGTCCTGCATTTGTAATTCTCTTTCACTATTGTATGCACAGGAAATGCTTGTGTCAGTCTCTCCATTTAGTCTTTTTGAAATATCATGGATTCACGTGTCAAAAAAATCTGCCACTTTGGAAGTCCAGGTACTAGGTCAGTATGCTTTAAAATAGAAGTTTAAGTTTATTTTTGATAATCTTATTTAATCTAAAAAAAATACTTGCACATTTCTCAAAGGTAGAGTGTAGTAAAAGTTATTACTGGTACTATATGCTAGTCACCATATTAGTTTCTTTATGCATGTTATGTTACTTAATTCCCATCACAACTGAGTAAGGTAGGTGGTGTTTTCCCAATTTAATACATGGGGAATGTGAGGCATAAAGAGGTTAAGTAAGTTTCCTAATTTTACCTTACTAGTATGAGTTTAACTTTAGATTCAAATTTATTTTGTGTTTTCTTATTCCAAAACCTGAGGTCTTCTCAGAATGAAGACTATTTTAGAAATCACACGGTGTTTACTGATACTCTAAAAATAAAGATTGCTTAGAAATATAAGACCCTAGATCTTGCTTTGATAAATAGTGAATCAGTTGGAAAAATGTGATAATTTAGACCTTGTAGCTTAATAAAAATAGTTTCAAAATGAAAAAAATTTTTCTTCTTCTGTTGTACATTCTCAGGATTGATGCCTTTTAAAGTTTAGATATATCTAGGTGTTGATTCTCCCAGATCTTAAGCTTAAATTTGAGGGCTTAAATGGGTGCCATTATTTGAGGATAATGGCTTTCTGCTATATTATTGATATCTCCTGATCTGAATCTGTCCTGAACCCCAGCTCTATATATCTTAACCATTTGTATCTTTGCTTAGATGCTCCACAGGCACCTTAAACTTAGTATGGCTAATACTGAATTCATCCTCCCTGTCCTTACCTCTAAATGTACAAAACTCAAAAAACAACAGCATCCTGCTCCTAGTCTTTTGGAATGATAAAATCATCTACCCAGTTACTGAACTCAGACACTTGGGAACTTCTGTTGATTTTCTTTCTTCCTTATCCTTCAAATTTGTTGTCACTGATACTGATAATAGCTAACGTTTATTGAGCTATTCCAGGCACTGTGCCATATACTTTGAAAACATAATTTTACTTACCTCCCTTATTTTCATAGCTCTGTACCATATCCCCTTCTCTCCCCATCTTGCTGTCACTTCCCTAGTTCAGACCCTCGTCATTTCTTACCCGGGTAATCTCACAACCTCCTGACTAATCTCTATTCTTCCAGTCCACTTCCACATTGCAGCCAGTCACATTACTCTGCTGCATGAAATCCTTCAGTGTCTCTCTGCTGCCTATGTTATTTTGCAAGTTACAAAAACAAGCAAACAACACCCTAATAAGGAAACCATAGTTGAAATGAGAAGATCTGAATCTATTCAGACATAACTGGATTATAGGGGAAAGTTCAAATTTTCTGCATACAGCACCCTCTATGATATGACCTTACTCACACCTCCAGCTTCATCTCTCTCTCTCTCTCTCTCTAAAGTTTGCAAACATTTATTATAAAATTTTAAAATTGAAGGAAAGAGGGAAGAGGACATTATATAATGATAAAAAAAATCCACCAAGAATACATAACAATTCACAGTATGCATGCAATCAAATAACAGAGCATCAAGATACTCAAAGCAAAACTTAATATACTAAAAAAAAATACTCAAAAAAAGAAACAGACATATTTGCAATTGTAGTTGGAGGCTGCAACATCAATTTTCCAGCAATTGATATAACCAGTAGAGAGAAATCAATAAGATATAGAAGACCATAAAAGCACTATTAACCAACAGGATCTAATTGACGTTTATAGAAAGCACCACCTAAGTACATAAGAATACACATTCTTTTCAACCATCCTTGAAGAGTTGCAAAGATATACCATATCCTGGGTTGCTCTGAGAAAGGAGTGGAGAGAACCAAGAAATCGAAAGTTTTTCAGGCAGAAAAGAAATAATTCAAATCTGAAACTCAGATTGCTAAGAAGAAATGAAGAGCATCAGAAATGGTAACATTACAGCTCTACATAATAAATAATTAATAAAATTCTTTTATATATAAATTTCATTAGAAGACCCCATTGAATATTTAAGCAAAAATAATGATATTCCAGTTTTGTCTCATCAGGCCCACAAAACAGTAAACCACAGCTTCATCTCTTGTCACTTCTACTTTCAGTAGTAGACAGTAGTGATTCTGAAATTTGCAGTAGCTTAACATATCATAGTCCTCATTTTATCTTCCCACTTTCTATTTGGGGTTTGCATAAGGTAGTTCCTTAGCCTGGCTAACTTCTATGTGTCTTTTAGCATTTCAATTACATAGCACCTCCTCAGGGAGGTCCTTCCTCAAACCCCACTGGGTATCTGCCACAGCTATCTGTCTGGGTTTTTATACTATATAACAGTATCATAGAGTTTATCACATTCTTCATCCTTCATTTTCCTGTTTTCCCTACTGGACTTTAAGCTCTTAAATCACAGGTTGTCTGAGCCTGCAGTTTCAAGACCAGCCAACTTGATGAGACCTCATCTCTACAATAAAATAAAAAATAGCCAGATGTAGTTGAGCCTATTTGTAGTTCCCACTACTCAGAAGGCTGAGGTGGAAGGATTGCCAGAGCCCAGCAGGTGGACGCTGGGGTGGCCATGAGCATGCATGCCACAGCATTCCAGCCTAGGCAGAGGAATGAGACTCCAATTCAAAAAAAAAAAAAAAAAAAAATCACAGGTCGTATTCATCTTTGTATCTCCAGCACCTAGCACAGTTGCTGGTATACATTAGATATTTGATAAACAGATGGATAAGTCTTAGTGCATATATGAGGGAGGACCCAAAAAACCCCTAGAATTTATTTATTACAAAATTGTATATATATATATATATATATATATATATATATTTTTTTTTTTTTTTTTTTTTTTGAGTTGGAGTCTCACCCTGTCGCCCAGACTGGAGTGCAGTGGCCGCTCCCGGCCACTGCAGCCTCGATCTGCTGGGCTTCAGCGATCCTTCCGCCTCAGCCTTCCAAGTAGCGGAATTATAGGAATGCGCTACCACGCCTGGCTGATTTTTTGATTTATTGTAGAGATGAGGTCTCGCTGCCCAGGCGGGTCTCGAACCCGCGGGCTCAGGCAATCCACTCACCTCAGCCTCCCAAAGGCATGGGATTACAGGCTGAGCCACCGAGCCCGGCAAAAATTGTATATTCTTACATGTTTAGACTTCAGTCACATTTGAAGTACTTTCTGTTTGATGCAGCACACCTATTGAAATGCTTTTTCTACTGCTCAAGATAGTTTTTGAACTCAGCAGTTTTGATGCCTTTTAGTGTGTTTGCTGTTTTTTGTTTCTCCTTTTCT